CCACGATGCTCAAGCACTAAACATTAAATTCATCAACTATTCCATTGATCCTTTCTCTCCCCCTTCTAACATGATATCAATCTAACCGATCTAAACCCTAGCAGCCGCCTGTCACTTTCGCCTCGCGCACCACCCTCAGGATGGTCGGCCTCCATGACCGCCGTCGGGGGCCGCGCCGCCCATACCTAGGGTCCGTCCGCCTGTCGTGTTGATCAGCTGCCCTAAAGAGTCTTTCCGCGGGCCCTTGCTCGGATTTCTCTCTCTCTCGCCGGTCGTTTTAATTGACGTTTACTTTTTGATTTTCCGATATAAGATCGGTTTACTTCGTCCATCGACGTGCGCCTGCTTCGTCGTCTGCGTTGACTCCTATCAGCAGCTTGGTCGTCCCGAGCACCATGCAGCGCGACAGCAGTATGGCGGCCGAGTGCGTCCTCGTACGTGCTCGGTTCCCAGGCTTTGCTTTGCTCACGTGCATGCACATGTGCAGCTCGCTGTACAAACACATGCTTCCTGGACCGCATGATGCAAGTGGACTTTGGACGCCGAAGCAGCACCGATCTACATCACGTGCCGCGCTCTCGTGGGATCCTGTGCATCTTCATCGACGCGCGACCGGTCTGATCAACCGTTGCTTGCGCTTGCGCAGGGATCCAGAGAAGGTCATCGACGAGCACGCACGCCTCACTGTCGTTGTGTCGTCTTGTCGGACCACAGTACCGTCCTCCCATGGTTCTCATTATCGACCTGCATGCTGCCGCTGCATCATTTTTTTGGGCCGTAGTGTCGCGGCCCGCGGTCTATCGCTGCTTCGAGTACGTTCGTTTCAGGCCGTCTTCGTGGCTGCAACGACCCTCGCGTTACGGCTGCGTCGCCCCATCGGGCCGTAGCGAGTGTGGCACGCGGTCTCCGCCGTCATCTGAAGCCGTCCCCGCAGTTGCACCGACCCGCGCTCAGCCGCTGCACCGCCCCTTCGGACTGTAGCGCCGCGGTCCGTGGTCCCCGCAACCGCGCCGAGGTCTTCCGTCGTCGTCCCGACCTGCCCGCCGCCGCTGCGTCGCCCCTTCGGGGTATAGCGCCTTGGCCCGCGGTCCACCGCCGTCCCCGCGCGTCGACTTTCCGTGGTATGCGCCGTGCCGCCTCCCTTGACGCGGGAAAACTACCGTCTGCGCCGGTTTTCGTCACGATGTCGGGTTCTTCGCCTACTTCGAGCACCGCCGTCGCGCTCCTAACCTCGCCGCCACCGCCGCCGTCAGGCCGCCGTCGCTGCTACCCCCGTAGCCGCCGCCGCAGCCCGTCCACCCCCTTCATCTTCGTCCAGCACCAGCCCATTGCCAGCGTCGCCATCATCTACCTCGACCACTTCATCTACTCCGACAACCACGGGTGATATCGGCCCCGCGCCGATTGGCGCCACAACCACCGTCAAGTCCTCTGCTGGTCTCTCCGACTTCTCCGATATGGCGTACAACTCGTGCATGTCCCAGTCTACGCATGCCCGTTACTGGCAACACCGATGCGTGCCTTCATCCACGATGTGTCCCCGGGCCTGGCAAGCCTGGTGCGGCACTTCGTCAACTTCATCTTCGTCCGTCTGCGCATGCCTGGTGCTAGCAACACCGGTGCGTCCCTTCGTCCATGATGTGTCCCCGGGCTTGGCAAACCCGGCGCGACGTGTCATAAACAACATCTTCTTCCCGGTGCACCATTACTTCGACACCATTGCGCCCATGCTAACTCGGCGCCTCCTTGCGCCCGCGGCTCCACGGCGACATCCTCGACACCGGCTCCCCGACTCGACATTGACCACGGGTTCTTCGCACAGCTACCTCGACCACGGCTGCACCACCCTCTGCTCTCGACTACATCAACAAACGGCATAAAGGGCTACCACCTTGCTTGAGCAACATCGTCGGTTGCCACTCCAGTCACAACTTCCGGATGCGTCGACCGTTACGACTGTGGGGAGGTGTCCGTCGGCTTGCCTTCGGATTCTTCTCCAGTCTTACCGTCTGCGTCACTACCGTTGTGACTGCGGAGAGGTGTCCGTCGGCTTGCTTTCGGATTCTTCCCCAGTCTTACCGTCTGCGTCACTACCGTTGTGACTGCGGGGGAATGTTGAGTACATTGATTATTAGGAAAGTTAGGATAGCGTAGCATATTATTCTACCCCGCCTTGTACTTCAATATGATCATGTACTCCTATATATATATGCCACGAGGCTCAAACAATAAACATTGAATCCATCAACTATTCCACCAATCACCTCTCTCCCTTCTAACAATAAGTCTGATTCACAGTTTTGCCAAAATCTCGGTCAAGGCACTCGCAAACAAGCAGGAACTTTTGGAA